AGCCTGCTTCCCCGCCTGAAGGCTGGCACGTCTCCCTCCTCACCGGCCCCAGGTGAACTGAGTCCCGCCTTTCGCCCAGGCTGCCGCCAAGCTCCAGGAGGCGGAGCGGAAGCTGTGTGACCAGGAGGTGCTGCTGAAGGCCGTGACCCTAGAGAGAGACCAGGCCGTGCGGGAGCTGAGGACACACGGGCCCTGCCCTGAGGAGGAGGCGCAGGTGAGTGCCCCCCTCTCTAGTTGCCCCCCCACCTGGGAATTACCCCTCCCCAGCATCCCTAAACCTGCTCTTGGGGTGGCCGTGGGAAAATAGGACCTAATGGAACCACATGGCTGGTTCTCTTCGGTTGTAAGTGTGGTCTGTACCCAGCTTCTTCTTTGTTTCTGCAGCATTTGAAATCTCTAAAAACCCCAATTCCAATACTACGCCGTGGCAGACAGTTAATGGGACGCTGTTGCTGTGGTTTGTCCCCAGAACCAGCATGGGTCACTTCGTGCTGTGACCCTGTCTTGAAGCCCTGGGCTCAGTGGGCAGCGACAGTGGTGGCCAGAGCTTGTTGAGAGCGTCCCCGTGCCTGGCTTTTCCCTCAGAGCTCACGTCTGTCAAGTCTTTAAATCTCTGACTGACATAGGTGCCAAGGCAGCTGAGAGGCAGGGACCTTAAGTTCTAGGCTGAGGGGTCACAACTTTTGGAAGGAGCATAGCTGGGGTCCAAGCCCATATGCTCCTGCTCCACAGCCAGAGGTGCCAGAGGGACAGCGTGAGGCTGGGGAACGAAAGAGCAGGTGGGGCTGACGGGCTGATGGGCTAGGGTCGTTCTAGGCCTGTGAGTGGTTCTTACTTTTCTCTGCTGGTTTTTGTTGTTGGTGGTGGTTTTTAAAAAATGGGTTATGTTTACACGCCGTGAAATGCACAGATGTGTACAGTCAAATGAGTTTGACACGGATGTAGCCACGCGACCCACCCCTAGACCAGGTCCACACAGAGTATGCCCATGGCTTGCGAAAGTGTACACACGTCTACTAGGACAATGGCCCAAGCCCCTGGGGACTCGTGGTCAGTGGGGCCTGGTGGGGGACTCACAGCAGGGGCTCTTTGCGTGGGTCCTCGTTACACAGGGACCTTCTGTAGGGCACAGAGACAAAGCAAATGCTGCTTTTCATCCGTGTCACCCCCCACGTTTTCTTTTGGTGTATCCTCCTCTTCCCACTCAGGCTGGCAATTAAAAGAAGACGTTTGCATCCAAGCACCAGCTCAGCAGCCCAGGAGGCCTCTCAGTGGCTGTTTGCATTGTTAGGTAAACA